ATAATCTCAAAGACATCTAAGTACGATCTAGAAGACTTTTAAATATGATCTTTAAAATTTATGATTGTTATTTTCAAGAACATTTGACCTTATATTTGGATTTAGGCTCAGACTTAGTCATTTTCGACCTTAGTTTAGTCCGATCACTTTCATTTTTAACCTTGGCTTAATCCAGTCACTTTCATTCTTTGACCCTAGTTCAATCTAGTTATTTTCATTTTTGACATTGGCTTAGTTAGGTCACTTTCATTCTTCGACCTTGGTTCAGTCTGGTTATTTCATTTTTGACCTTAACTTAATCTGATTACTTTCATTCATCGACCTTGGTTCAATCTGGTCATTTTTATTTTCTACCTTGGTTCAATCTGATCATTTTCATTTTTCACATAGTTCAATCCAATCATTTTCATTTTCAAAATTAGCTTAATCCGATCACTTTTGTTTTCAACCACGGTTCAGTCCAATTACTTTTACATTCAACCTAAGCTTAGTTTGGTCCTTTTCAGTTTTTGACATTGGCTTAGTTCAATCACTTTCATCATTCAACCTTTAGCTTAGTCTAAATCAAGCCATTTTATTTTTTGACTTCGGCTAGAACCAAGTCATTTTATTTTCTAACTTTGGTTAAGTCCAAGTCATACTATTTTCTAACTTTAGCTAAGACCAAGATATTTTATTTTCGATGACGGCTAAGTCCAGTTGTCTTCTAACTTTTAACATTGTCTAAGTCATTTCCTTTTGACTTTTGGCTAAATCCAAATAATTTCATCTTTAAACCCAGACGTAATGAATGTCTATATCTTTATGCAATTTCTATTACACAAAAAATGCATGAAGAGAGGCAGCTGTAGACACCTCATTTTGTTTGGGGTTTAAATTTTATTTTATTTATTGTTTATTTATTTTATTTATCTATGTGTATATCTATCTTTTTTTTTTTCTCTGTTCTTTACCTTTGTTAAACTTTTATTTTTATTGTTGGTTTATCTTTACCTTATCAGTTTTTCAAATAATAATAATAATAATAAATAAATAAATAAAAATTTAAAAATTGGCTGAGATTATCCTTATGTGGTAAACCTCATCTGAAATAATTTAGGGATTAATCTTGGGATAATACTTAATTTAGTTTAAAATAAATCTGATCTTGACTTGATCCTAAGTTGGGATTCTGCTATAAAACATACATGCATTCAATGTAGAAAAAAGAACAACTACATAGAGAAAAATACATAACCATAAATCAATATGAAAAACACAGAGGGAAAAAACTAAAGCTTTATCACCATATACACCAAACCATCTCATCACCTCATTGCCACCCATCATTCCCATCATTCAAATACAAGTCATTATCCAAACTTTTCACCACAAACATTTGCACCCAACAACCTACAACCACATTGAGCCATCCTTCATCTACCTAAAAAGAAATGCAAAAATCCCTAACTAGTTCCCAAACCCTTGCTTCACCAATCCCCTTAAATCTCTGTTACAAGTTCTATTCAACCTCATTCTCGCCAGAAAAATCTCAAGCAACATAACCCACATCCAACAGTCAATACAAACTAAAAGAATCCAGGATAAAAAATCCAAGTAGAGCCTTATTTCAACCTGACAGACCCATAAACACAGAGCAATTAAACACCAACAAACCTAAAGTTACAAAGTTCACAGAATTTTTTATCTTGGCAGTGGAGGTCAAGGCTAACAACCACTAGTATGATTTTGGAGAATTGAAACCTGTAAACTCGAAAAGCATTGATAAGAGAATAACATTAATAAAAATCAACTTAATCAAACAATGAAAACAAGTGGGAACCGTGGTGGAATACTACAACTTTGGCTTCGAATCTAGGCCATCGATGGATGATTTTCAAAAATTTAAGTTTAGATCTGAGACAAAAAAATTGAAAAAAAAATAATGGTAAAAATTTTGATTCCATCAGACACTGGACGGTGGCAAAGTATGGTGGTTGATGGCAAAACCATGACCGACAATGGTGGTCTGAAAATCGTGGGAGAAAGAGAAAGCTTGGAAAGAATATGAAGTGAGAGAGATATGAGAAGAAGAAATAAAGAATTTTGATTTTTGGGGGCTATTTATACCTTAAGTAAAATGACGTTGTTTTGCCTTATGAACAGTGAATTAAGTTAAGCTATAGCTGAGCCAACCCAAGCCAATACTCGAGCCTTCCCAACCCTTTTCCTTTCTGCAATCGTGCCAAGCAAGTCGAGTCGAGCCCATTCTTTTTGGTATTTGTTTAATTTGTTTTATTTTTTATAGTTATTTATTTATATGAAATATTTTTGCATGATTAAATTTTTAGGAAAAATTAAAAGAAATAATTATAAAATTATAAAATAAAACTTTAATAAACTTTTAAGAATAAATAGTAATTATCAAATGATGAAATTTTTAGAAATTATAAATGGCTAATTTCTAGGAAATTTCTAAGTGAGAAATTTTTTCTAAATTTGACCCAAATAGAGGAAAAATTTAAACAAAGTTTCAATAAAAATAATTAATATTTATTTTTAATTTTTTAAAAAAATAAAAAAAAAAACATAAACAAATTTAATAAAATTTTGGGATTGAATTAACAATTATCCAATGAGACATTCTTAAAAAATTTTCAAATGGTAAATTTTTTAAGAAATCTCTAAGTGATGATTTTCTTGAATTTTAACACAAATGGTAGAATAATTTAGATAAAATTTCAATAAAAGTAATTATATTTTTTTTCAAATAAAAATTAAAAATATAACTTAAAATTTGTGTAAATATATCTGACAATTATCTAAAAATGAAATCTCAAGAAAAATCCCAAATGGCTGAACTTCTATGAGATTTTTTTGTAAAGGTTTTTTCTAAATTTAATTCAAATGGTGGAAGAATTTAGAGAAGAGTTCAAAATAATAATTATCATATTATTTTCTTTCTAAGGTAAGAAATAAATGATGAATAACAAAAGTAGATTCTAAATTCAACCTAAACAGTAGAAAATTTAGAAATGAAACTTCTAAGATATTTTTAAATTAGGCCCAAATTGTAGAAAATTTAGAAGTGGAACTTGCAAAATAAAAAATAAAATCCGATGATGAAATTTTTAATAATTGCAAATGGATAATTATCTAAGAGATTTCTATGTGAGAAAATATTTTTAATTTTGGCGCAAATGGTAAAAGAATTAGATATATTTTCAAGAAAACATAATTTTAACAAAAAAATAAATGATTAAGTTTTTTCGATGATGAAGCCTTTTTAAGAAAATAAATGAGATTTTTAAACACTTTTAAGGTATGGAAGTATCTCTAGAAATTTTGCCAAATCGATAAAAAATTTTAAAAATTATTTCCAATAATTAGAATTTAATAGAAGACCATTAGAACTATAAACCATTGGGATAATTTAAAATTAAATGATACCATTTTAGGATTGGTGTGTGAGGATGTTATAACCTTCTTCATACATAATCAAACTCCTGAATCCTATTTTGATATAAAGACTAAAAATTTGTTCTTTTAGAAGTTTAAGTCAAGCTTGGAATGACTACAAAATAATAGATTAATTAGGTCATCAAATGCACTTAAACAAAAAAGATAGATGATGACTTTTTAAATTTATATCTAGTGATAGATTCATGGATTTGTACATTATGACACATATTAAAACTGATTTTTAGGAACATAAAAACCGAAAAGGCACATCAAGAATACGAAAATGCATCTCAAACTACACTTGTATATATCAAGTTGCACATGAATGCAAGAGTCTTTAGCATTGACCAAAGCTATTTGTTTCTACATATGGTTAATTGTCCCATATATTATTACTCTCTTTCAATTAATCCTGCAAGGAAAGGAATCAAAAGAGAATCCATGAAGAATAGCAGATGGTGTCTGAATTATTATCTGTTTGATCTAAATAAATGATGAAAAACTGTGTTTTGTTATAGTGAAGCAGGTACATGTCGTTTAAAGAAGAGAAACCTTTTCCAATATCTATCTCATTAACTTATCCTTTTGACTCAGCAGAGATACAGTTTTAAGTAAAAAAAAAAAGAAAGTGATGTTTTGATCCTGAAAATGGACCTGCACCACTGCCAAAATCTTCCATGATCTAATCATGAATATTGTATAAGATCAATAATGAAGGAATATAAAGCTAGCTAAACTATTAGCTATGTTCTGTTCTGTCAAAACATAAAGCTTGTTTTTTCCTCCCTAAACTATTTATTGATCATTAATTTGATCTCCATCATCATTTATCATAATTCATATCAATAATAATTTTATGCATCTCTGATATACAAGAGTAATGGGGAAATTATGAGAATGTTCTGGGGACCATAACTATTCTGTATTTTACTCTAAATCAGAAAGATCCAGAATTTTTTTTTTATATATTTAAAATTGTCAAGATTTGAACTATAATTATTGAAATTAAAATTTCGGCACTTTACCAGTAGATCTCGCAGCTGACTATTCTTCCTACCTTTTCCTTTGAAAATGCTGATGTTAGAGATTCTTCCTATCGAGTTTTTGAGAGACCCACCACTCGCTGGTGGATTTATGTAACCAGTGGAGTGTAGTTAAAGGAGGTTGTGAATCTAAAAGGTGACAACCTAAAGGTCAAAAGGATTCACATCAATTATATAGATACAATAATAATGCAACAATTCAGAGGCTGCTTTCAATTTGTTACTTTCAAAAAGAACTTTCAAAGAGACAATATCTTCTACAACCCTCAAATAGTGCAACCTGGTTTTGGCTTAGTTGAGAAATGTGCTAGCTTTCTTTTGCAACACCCTTCTCAGAGCCCACTCAATTAAATACCAAACTGTCTCTCCAGTAATGAAGTGAGACAGGGCCAAGGCAGAGTGAAGTTCTTAAAAAAAATCAATATTTTTTTCTTTTTCTTTTAGAATGTATTCACTGACATGGCTGAATGGGAATTGGGAGGTGGGGTTTGAACCTACTGAAGATAGAGAAAAAAAAAGCAGCATAAACATAGCCATCTCAATAGTTGTTAATTGGAGGGAAAAAAGGCAGAAAGAGAGCGAGTAAAATTTCTATGCATAATAAACAAGTTGTCAAGCTACAAGGCTTTATCCTTGCACCCAGCTAGTTACAAGATGTACAAGGCCTTCAAGCCTAAACGCAAAATTCTGTATTAATCATATTTTTTTCCTTCTTGTTCATCTTTCTTTATCTTGAACAAGAATTTACTACATAATCTAATCACACCCTTTTACAATTCTTGCTAGGGTGGAGAAATATTTTTTTTCCATATCTTCTAGTCTTTACATTCTGGATTGAGCTCATACAGATAATTGTTTCCATTCAACCAGACGCCGTAAAAAATCCATAACCTGCAAAAAGATACAAAATTATGATTAAGTTACAAAAATAATAGTAGCAAAATAAAAATACTAATTGTGTTAGTTTGGAACTTACCTCATCTGGTTCTTGTAAAGAATATGATGCACTAGTGTCCTTAGGGAACTTGGAGACAAGAATACCAAAACCTTGTCCTCTGTCTCTCAATATCTAATGACCATGAAAATCAAAGTATTAGCAAGATCCACTAGTTTAATAAACAAAGAGATGCCTTGGCTTTGATTTTGAGCGTTGGATACCTTAAATGCATCTTCATCTGTGCGGTCATCTCCAATGTAGACAGGAAAAACATCGGTACAGTTAGCGAATCCTATAGAAAGACATTTATACTAATGGTTAGTGATTAGAGAATATCATGTCATTATTTTCCTACTATTTAACAGTTAGCGAATCCTATATAAATACATGTGTGTGAAATGCGCGTGATTAAAAATCAAACAACTTGTATTTAAAGAATAATTTACTAGTATTAAGTAAAAACTTACCAAGAGATTCTAACAAAAATTCAAGGGCTTTCCCTTTGTTCCATTTAATAGTAGGACGGATTTCTAAAACCTGCATCAAGCAAATAGCCTTAAAAATCATCAATATTAGAAAAAGGTAAAAGGGGGAAAATTGATCAGATTGCAGCACAGCTCCTACCTTTCTGCCTTGAGTTAGCCTAAGCTTGGGGTACTCCTTTAAAACTGACCTAACCTGCAGTGCCAGTTCACTCCATTTCTGTATTTTTTTATAGCAAACAGTCAGATGCTTTTAAAGTTGTATAGCAAGTTACACATAAACAAACAGTAGTTCATACAATAAGTTAATAATAGTAATTGCTATTGGCTTTTTACCTTTTCATCAACACAACGAAAATGTACAGAAAGACAAAACTTGTTATTCTCCACCTTGGCTCCTGGAGTTGATTTGGTAGTCTCAACCAATTGGTTGTAAACCTGGAAAGTTCATTTAAGAAAAAAAAAACACAAAAATGTCAACTATTTGAAGATCTTTGCTTTAATTTCCATGGAGTGATGAATTGGTCAAATTGCGAAGAAAACCAACCTCATCAATCATGGGTAGAAATTCACTAGCTGGTTGAAAGAGAACGGATTCACTATCCTGAAGAGTAAAAGCATGGGAAAAACAATAAGACTGAGGAAAAGTCGAGGTTTTTGACCATTTGGTGGAATTACTAATGCAGCCCACTCACTTTGTTAGATTTGGAGCGTTTCTCTGGGCCTTTAATGTCCATGCCATGACTCCCAGCGTAGTACAGCTCAGCTAATTTGACAAATTTATACACCTAGAATTTGCAAAATAGGAAAACAATTACCAAATGTGAAAATAATATTTGGACAAAAAAAAAGGATGATTGCTTATTCTGAAGTTTTTTCAGTATCAAATTTGTTTTGAAAAAAAAAAAATCAAATTTAAGGCCAGAAAATGTACCTTGTCTCTGCATCTGCCACTCACTATAGCAGTAGGGAAACACTTGGCTAGCTTTCTCACAGTCTTTCTCATCTGGTTTAGACAAACATGAAAAGTTTGTAACAGGAAAAATACTGATGAGTACACCCAGAAAACTTATAGAAATACTATGCAGATTTTCATATAAATAAATAGCCAACCTTCTTGGACATGAAAGCTCGATCTGGATCCTCGACAATTGGTGAAAGAGTGCCATCGTAATCGAGAAACATTACTATTTGTTTCCCTTTCGATGCATCTATTATCTGCTCAAACATCTCCAGGGCAGATGGATGGTGTAGCTGAAAATTTTCATCAACCATAAAAGTCGGAACCTTTATTGCCTAATACCAAGAACACCAAGCCAAAAAAAAAAAAAAAACTTCCTTGGAGGCTTGCTATAGCTTAGCACTTACATTCCAGGAACCTTGGTCATCAGTAAAGGAAGGTGTGGATTTTATATGAGTTGGAGAAGACGCTCTCATGGAATCAACCCACGCATTGAGTCTTGCTCCAGCACTGATTTCAAGGTTTTGAGGCAACTTCTTTCTTGAAATGGAGATATACCCAGGAGGTGCTGGCGGTTTTTGTGCTGATACGGTCACTGTGATTGACATGTTGAGGACAGATTTTGCATCAGAGGTCACATTTTGACCAGCAGCCATATTCTTTGGTCTTTCTTCTAAGAAACTCACTACAAGAAACACAACCCATATCAAAATTTCCAGTAAAGCTAACTTAAAAACTAAAGGCCAACCAATTTTTTTAATATGTCCCCGAAAATCCAAAAAGAAAACTTACCCATTTGTGGAAGGTAAGGTAGTTAAAAGAACACCCGAAACTTAATAAGTGTTTTGTATGTTAATTTTAAGTAAGAGGAAGAGAGTTCAAACAGAGGAGTTCACAGAGTACTCTGTTTCTTTTGTCCTGTGTTGAAGCCGAAAGATTAAGGAAGTGAAACGAAATTGAAAGACTAAAAATGCAAAAACACCAAAGATTTGTCAGAAAAAGGAAGAAAGACAGAGCGAAATATGGAGAGAGCCAAGCAAAGAGAGAAGAGAATGTGTGTCAGACAGAAGGGATTGAAGCCTATTTTATAGAAAAACCGGACACAAACGGATGAAACGACCATGCCCCCTCTCTCGAACAGCCAAACTCTTAAAGACATGGGACCCGCCAAAACTGTATGTCCCACGATCCTGTCCCACCCCTCCTTAAATTTTTTTTTTTTTTTCAGAAACTTTGCAATTCCCATGCTGTGTTAAGCAGCCGTCTTTAGCAGTCACAGAACTATGAAAGAATAAAGCTTTTTAAGGAGCTGCTAGCAGTTTTGCCACGTGGATGACATTCCTTGGTTGGCTCAAATCGTGTGGGTTTCCGCCACGTGTAAGACTACGTCACATGTTAGACCACGGGTTCGTGGGAGTTGTATTTCCTTAGACGGATCACAAGGTAGATTTAACCGATCATAATTGATGTTTACGCATTAAATATAAAATATTTTTAATTTTTATTAAAAGTGTGTTTTGTTATTTTCATATTTTTATATTATTTTTTATACCATATTTAAAATCGACAGGTGAGGTTTTGGATCCAACACCAACTTTTTCTGATAACTTAAATGAAATTAAGGAGCTGAATTTTCCTTTAACGGAAATGTTTGCGCTTCAACTTTTTTTTTTTGGAAGGGGAGGGGGGCTTTGCTCTTTCGACGCCCCTTGTAAACAAGTGCGAAACTAACAACTCGAAACCTACCTTGTTAAGCAAAACCAGCTGCGAGCTCTGGAAATGTAAGATATTTTCCCATTTTTGTACATAAATTTACTATGCTTTTGACCCTCTTTAATTTTATATTAGGTTAGGGTTATTAATTAAGACTAACTATAACTCTTTATGAACTTGTCTTATTTTAAGTAAAAATAAATAAATATAGGGAAGGGATTAAATACACAAAAAAATTTATACTTTTTTACAATTTTTTTAAATAAGTGAGTTCAATAAATTTAAACGATAAGAAAAACAAATTTAAAAAGGTTTAATTTTATCACTTGAATTTATTATAATCAATTATTTGAAAAATATATAAAATTATATCTCAGTAAGTTGATTCCTTCCTATAAATAAATAACTATATATATTCAAACAGCCAAATTTTTATTTGTATTTGTCACCTAGCTTATACATTTTACAACCCACTTGATGGATTAGAAATGGAAAGGTACATGAAGTTCAATCAATTTAGCCAACAATTTAATTAGTTAATTTAATTTTTTTATATAAAAAAGGTTACAACCTGAAAAAAAAAAAAAACATTAAGTGTATTGAAATCTAAATATTAGATTTATTAGATATTATTTCTTAAAAGTAGTTGTATAAATTAATTAATTAAATTAAATTGTGAATTTAGTTTTGTAACATATTAATAAAATCATTTTGCTTTTGATGTCTTCACTACTTTTTAAGTAGTGCTTTTTGTTTTGTCTCATTGATAAAAGAAATTTTGTTTGAAACTTTATTCTTAATTTACGTTGAATTTATTTAATTATTTTATAATTTATTTATGTTAACATTGAATTCTTATATAAAATGCGATATTTAATAATCTTGGAAAACGTAACTTCATAAAACTTTGATTGGGATATGTATGATTTTAAACCTTACCCTCATTTCTAGACAAAACACCAATTAGATTAGGATCTGCTAAGCTTTTAGGCTCCGTCCTAAACCTCATTTATTGGCCAAATGTAGGATTGACAAATCAACCCAAAATCATAAGGTTTTGATCCGATCTGATCATCGAATGTTGAATTTTTTTTTTTTAAAAAAGTTTTGGGTCGGGTCAAGTCGGTTTTATTTTTTTGAATGATAGATTTGGGTCAAGGTCGGATTTATATGAAACTCAACCTGACCCAAGATATTTACCAAAATACCTTTGATGTTTATTTTGTATCATGTACTATGTTTAAATTTTAGTTATTATTTTATGCTTGTTTGATGTTTGAATTTTAGTTTACTAAGTTTTATATATATTTCATAATTCCATCATCTATGGTGAGAATTTATGAGTTTTAATTTACTTAGGGGGCATTTGGTTTGAGAGAATCTACACATTTTTCTTCAAAATTTTATTATTAGATATTTGATTCCAACATTTGGTTCAAAGTAATCCAATTCTAAAAAAAACTAATAGATTCCTAATAGTATTCAAAGTCTCAAAATAAAAAACCCACAATTTCCTGTTGCATTCTAAGATTTTAAGAGAAAAAGTAATGTTATTTTCAAAATTGATCTGATCAAAAAATTATGAAATAGCCGTTACCACTTTGAGAATCATGTTTGGAAATAAATGCAAGTTAGTTGTAGGTTTTTGTTGGTAAAAAATTTGATTTATATATAACATTTGACATGAAAAATGCCTTCAATAATCTTTTACAAAAATTTGAATGAGATTATTCAAAGTATTTTTGGTTAAAAATGCATTGAATAATCCCAAAAATTTTTAGAAAGGGATTATTGAAGGCATTTTTTGACAGAAACGCCTAAAATAATCCATTTCAATTTTTATGAGGTAATTATTTAATGCGTTTTTTGCTAGAAATGCCTTAAATAATCTTCATTAAATTTTTTATAAAGGATTATTCATAGCATTTTTGTCCAAAAATACTTTAAATAATCCCTTATAAAAAAATTGAATGAAAGTTATTCAAGGCAATTATGTCAAAAAACGCATTAAATAATCCTCAATAAAAAATTAGAGATGATTATTCAAAGCGTTTTTGGCCAAAAACACTTTGAATAATCCCATTCAAATTTTTGTTAGGAATTATTGAAGGTTTTTTTTAGGAAAAACACATTGAATGATCCTTTTAAATTTTTATGAGTTTAAGGTTTAAGGTTTAAGGTTTAAAAATTATTCAAGGTGTTTTTTGCTAGAACAACATTCAATAACCTCATTCAATTTTTTTGTGTGAGATTATTCAAAACATTTTCTAGGCAAAAATGCCTTGAATAATTCTTTAAAATTTTTATGAGTTTAGGGTTTAGGATTTAGAGTTTATAAATTATTCAAAATATTTTTGGCTACAAACACCTTGAATAACCTCATTTAATTTTTGTAAGGATTATTCAATGTATTTTTTGGCCAAAAATACCTTAAATAATCCCCTTTAATTAAAAATTGGCTAAATTTGTTAATGCTTGTAATATATTTTGACTATAATTTGTTAAGTTTTCAGTAAATTTAAATTGATAATATATTACATTTGAGTCGGATTTGGGGAAATAATATTTTTAGTGGGTCGAAATCAAGTTTTTCAATTAAAATCTCCAAGTAGAAACGGGTCGGGTATCGGGTAAAATTATTGAAACTTTAGGTTGAAGGTAGGGAAAGCAAAAATCCATCATGTTCCGCCCGTTACTAACTCTAGCCAAATGATCACCATTCGTATTAGTTTGTAAGTTTTTTCATTGGATATTTTGTAATTAAAATCTTACAAATATTGGACATAGGAGCATTTTACTTAATGTTTGATACATATTTTCTCTAAAAACAGGACTTCCTCAAATAAAAAAATGTTAAGCTTGTGGTTCACACCCAATTATATTTTTGTATGTCCGTCCTTAATTTCGTTAAGCCACTGGCCGATCAAGGAAATAAATCACTGTTAATGTTGCATGATTAGTATTTATCATGCTCCACGCAATATTGGGCTGTAGTCGTTCTAAATTAAAGAATCTCAATAACTATTTATATTTTGATTAAGTGAGGCTGAAACTTAAGAGAAGAAAAAAAATTACAAGTGTTGGAGATTAAATTTGAATTTTATAAGATTTCATTCCTTAAAAATGATGAGTGAACCATTTCTGTTAAACATCAAATTTACAGTCTTTCGTTATTTCGTGTGCAATTAAAACTCTAAACCTAAACCTTCTCCATCTTTCAATTTATGCTAGAACTAATGTGGTTTCTCAGTTAATATAACTATAAATTCGAGCTAATTAAGGGATTTTTTTAGAATCAATTTTAAATCTTACAATCATTTATAAATTAATTTTATTAATATTAATTTCCACCGTTTATGTTTATGATCATATCATCAATAACTACACCTCTAAAATTAAACTTTTATTAAAAATGGTTCATCTAAGACAATTAATTAATAACAATTGTTCAAATTGTTGTTTTAATATTAGGTTAATATCATAAATCATCATTAAACTATAGTAAAATATTTAATGTAGTAATTGAATATTAAAAATCTTTAATTTGATACATTAATTATAAATTTATTAATTAATATAATATTTAAAATTTTATTTTTTCGTCACATATTATATCATTTGAAGCTAACAACTTTAAAATGAATACTATATTAATTAATAAAATTATAATTTATTATTACTTTAAAAATTTTTAAATTTTAGATATCACGTTAAGTATTTTATTATATTTTAAAAATTATTCATGATATTAAACATTTAATATTCAAGCATTGGGAATACAAGAATTTAAGGTCAATCTCAGGTAAACGAAAAGGAATTGGAACACTTTAAATATCACAAGATTATAAATAATTTTCATGTAAATAATTTTTATTGTTTTGACTGTATTTGGCAACATCAACAACAATTTTAAAACATCAACTTGTTCCCTAATGAATCAACAATGACAAAATTTCAATGTGAATGCAAAATCACAATTGACATGGGACTTCATAAATTAATGAGGAAACAGCTGTTTGAAGGGGAAAGAACAAAATGTAACAGCTAGAAAGTGGAATCCCGGATCACCAAAGATTGAAAAAGAAAAAAATATACATTTAACTGCAACACGTGTCTTGGCCTCCCATTATTTGCAGTACTGGCCTTAAAAGGGGTTGTACCCTAGCCAGTGTACAGTGGTTTCCTGGCCCTGGTACCTTTAGGTTTATTTATTTGCATGTTGTTTGAAAATCATGCATAGAGTCTTGCCGTATACGGAGACAAGAAAGACCCAAAAAAGCTTGTTAGGTTTCTTTCTTTAATTCGTCCTCTCTCTCAAATGCAAAAGTTATTACTTTTTTTTTTTTGTCATTTTAAAAATTTTTACGCACATTAAGAACAGGGTTTTGATTTTTACATATTTAATATTTTGAATTTATTTTTTATGATAATAATATATTGAATTTTGAATTTATTTAGTCGACGAGATATGAAAAACTTATATAATAATTTTACTAAATGCAAGAAAAAGATAATATAATAACAAAAATAAGTGAAAAAAAAAAAAAACAGAGAAACACTACGTGTTGGGTAGCGGTGAAAAAGACAAGACAATCCGTCCTCATTCTAGGATGAATCTAGTTTTGAAAATCGAGAGAAAACAGTGGTCGGCCGGGTCGGGGTTCAATTTTATTCTTTGTAGTTATATTCCCACTTCCTTCTCACAAAGCCACGAGCATTTGTCAACCAAGAGTACTTGCAATCCAAGGATGTGAGTAAGTATATAAGATTTTATATCCCACACAGTTAACTTTTTAAATAATAATACAATTAATTCATATAATCACTTTTAAAAAATTATATAAATTTATAATTTATAATTATAATTTTTTCTTCTTATATTAAAAAAATTGACCGATTTAGACTACTAAAAATCAAGTCAAGATTTACAAATTTCCTAACAAGAAATCAAGGATGTTAAATATGACAGTCGATTTTAATTTAACAAAAAAATACTTTTTTTTATCTAAGGACTTTGATCTTGATGAAAAATAATAACACAGGAAATTTACTTGTAAAGGATTTTTTTTTTTTACCAATAATACT